ATTTAGTTCAAAGTGAATGTATAACTGCCATTTGGAAAAATACATTCCGGAGATGATTTTGGGAGGATGTGTGTGTGTGTGTTTGAGTGCGTGTGTGTGTGTGCACGTGCGTGCTTAAAACAGATGTATTTAGCAATCTGTGATTTGTAGCAAAGTTTTAATTACCTTTTCCAGTGGCCTCACGCATGCCCCTGTGTCGTTGGCTCGGTAAGAGATAAGGGTGAACCTAGCTCAGCTTGCAGCAGGCGCTGATGGTGAGCTCCGGTTGCAAGGTGGGTCCTTACACCACTTGGGAAAGGCGCTCTCCCATTGGAGGAGAAGAAACACTGGAATATATTCCTCTCCATCCTTCTCCCAAAGCGTTGACAGAGAAAAACCCAAGTAACCTTGTTTACTGCCCTGCCTGACAGTAAGTTAAACAGAATTCCAAAGTAGAGGCCCGGACATTTGTTCATCTGCAAAAACATTTTGCTGAAGCATTCCTCGTGTACTTGTGTCTGGATATGTTTTCAATTACATGGCATCGGCTTTTGTCTCTAAGCTCTTGTTGTCTGTCCTAAGCAGCACTTGAACCTCTTCATGTTCATGAAAATTCTACTATATGGTTTTCAAAGCAAAAAAGGGGGCCATGGTACAAATGATTAAAGAGAGAGAAAAAGAACATTAAAATTATATGTATTTTATTTAAATGGTTTTGGGGTTTTAGGGAAGTATTATTGTTTTTAGGTACTCATTTTCTTTATTTTAGGTAGAATTTGTTTTTCCTATGTTGCAACAAATTTAGGTAGAATTTTTAGTGCTTTTTTTTTCTTAGTTATTGAAACTTTGGACTTACTGATCATCTATATTAAGTAGAATTAGTATATGGCTGTATGTTAGATGCAATTTCCATTAAAATGGAGATGCTCAAAAGTAAAACCTTTGCTACATGTAAGAGAATTACATGGTCATGTTCAGAACTAGATTGGGAATTATGACTGGGTCTGCCAACATCTGCTTTTGTCAAACTCTTTGAATAAAGTTAGGTGGTATAGATACATTTAGAAAAAAGCTCCAAAATTCCTGCATAACTGGGGTTGAATAAGTCAAAATCTGCACCACTGCACAAAGCATACATTGTGAATGTTTGGTCCTAGCAGAACAGCAAAGCAAGAGATTATTTTGCATTTTACAAAGGTTATTGGTAACCAAGTGGAATTAACGAAGTGAACAATTCTGTTCTGCCTTGGAAATAAACTAGACGATCTACTAGATGTTTGCATCTCAGATTTCCTTTCCGGAAAATCATTTGCGTGTCATTTGAATGACCAGAATGGCTGCCATGCTAAGACTACAATTTAGGAATTTCTTTTGCCTGAGAACATTTAGGCCAGGGACAACGCTGTATTTTGCAGCTGTGTTGCCTCAAAGTTTCTAACAAACCTGTTTATGGTGACCAGGGCTGCACAGCTGCTTCATTAGTGAGGGAAGAAATTGTCCATCCCAGATGACAACTAGGCAAAGCCACGTCTGTGAGGGGCACATACTGTCTTTGACCTAGCAACCCAGGTGCAGGTGACCCCGCAAGTCTTTGGATACCTGCCCAAGAGCAGCCCAAACTTGATCATGATCATGAGCCCTTGGGGAGAAAACTCCATGTTTTGAGTAGGAAGAAGATGTAAAAGAATATTTTCTGCCCTGAAAAGATAGTCTCTCCAGAAAGGAGGATCTGACGGTCTGCCTCTGTCAAAACAGCTGGCTCCGAATGATCATTGCTGATATTGCAGCTTAGCTGGCCAAACATCTGCACTTTCTGCTGCAGTGAAATGCAAAGTTACCCTACTTTTTCCAGAGGAAGGCAGCCATGGCCTGTGAACGGTTGCAGCACGCCTGATGCGTGGAGATGTGCCTTGCTGTGCAAGAGGTTCAAACTGTGCAGCAAGTAACAGATGATCACAGAGCGATAACAGAAGAACACACAAGCCTGAACTTGCTGGATCAAGTATTTTGATGCACGTGGAAAACATTGCCATTTGCTTGAGGCATCTCCTGAAGATTGCCCTTGCTGGAAATACTAGCCTTTTACCGAAGTTCTCTTTTCTGTTTCCTAGTGATTCTTACAGAGGGTACTGAATTAGAATTCTGAGTGCCCTTTCATCTTTTCTTTGAAATAAAAGAAGTTGTTTGGCGTACTTTTTAGAGCAGATCCATTTGTTTTGATCATGGCTAGAATTAAAGGAGTATGAGTACTTGCCTAGAGTCACATGCATCCTTTTGTTGATTTGTTGGGTGAAAGACTGGAGACTTTTTCTGCCTTAATAAGGACACCTGGATAGAATGCTGGCTCTGCACCCGATAAATCTCTCCAAACTGCCACAGGTGAAATGAAATGTTAATATTCCTTTCAGTTATTAATTTGAGAAATTTAAATAGATCCTGTTGGAAATGTAGGGCACTAACAATAAAGCATTTTAATATACGTGTAGTGGGATTTTTTTGTTCAGTTACTAAAAAACTGCATTTTAAAAGCTGCTTATATATTGGAATGAAAAGGTAATTATTTTCATAAATTGGAGACACTGCACCACCGACTTTCCAGACTTCATTTTATGATGCAAATCAATTTTAATTGTAGAAAACATAAATGCAGATAAGCAAAAGGGAAAAAAAAAAAAAACTTTCTAACAATTTCATTTGTTTGAAAATTAAATGGTCTTTATTACAGGTAGCTTGTAGTCATTATAAGTGTCCAAGCAGAAATTGAATGATCCTTTTTTGTGGGTGTTTAGAAACAAAATTCTGCTTTCTGAATTTGGATGAAAGTTGAGGGAAAACAGAAGACACACAACATTTTCCCAAAACGTTATTTAGTGCAATAAATGCTAACTACTCAACTACTGCCACTGCCATTTATTGAGGACTAATATTTCTGGATGTCAAGATTATGGGTGAGTTTAGTTCCTTTTCCTGTATAATGATCTGTCTTTTCTAGTTTTTCTCCGGTGACATATTGGGTAATAATTGTGTGACAAAAATCTAATAACATTTTTAAAAATTGCAATGACATCGTGTTCCCACAGTTTTGGCAAAATCCTAGGTTGTATAATTCCTAACAGAATCCGGAACGTGCGTGTTTTGTGTATCTCCCTGCAGCTGCATAGAACTCTTTTTAGATAGTTTTATGACTATTTTAAATTTAGGGCGAGAATCAGGTTTCCTGGAGTTTCCGTTCACTTCTCTATCTTCCCAGATATCTCCAATATAACACTTTGAAAGAGATTTTTTTCCCTTTAATATTGTTACTTCTCTTCTGATGTCCTCCTTTCTGACTTCTACGCAACTTTCACTGTTTTTATTATTTAATTTAACTTTTGAGTTCATAAATATTTTACATGTGGCTATAAAATGGTTTTTTTTTATTAGAGTTGTTTTTTTTT